TTTTTTTTTTTGCAGTGATGACAAGGTGATGGTTTTTGGTAATAGTGGTGATGATAATGGTAGTTTTTGTTTTTGAATTGATAATCGATAAAAAAATTTTGACTTAAATTGGTGTCGAAAATTTTCAGATGATAAATTGACTAAACGATGATTTCTTTTGGAACAAATTAAAGTTTTATATATATATTTATTTCTTTTTTGCTACATTTTACCGGTAAAGTTGTACTTGAAAGTTGTTTTTTTTATTAATTTTCATTAAAAAGAAATAAAAAATTTTTGTTTCGTATTGGATACAACTGATAAGTGCAAACTGATAAGTGGATTAGTGTCAGAACAGAGAACGTCGATCAGTGTTGCAATGACTGACGGTAAAATAGTGAAATGTTGATTGCAGGACGATACTGTCGGTTGTGTTGGCTGCTGGAGCAGTTCGGTTTCGGGAAATTAACAATGTTCGGGAACATTTCAGTGCTGATAATTCACCGTCACGTTACGAATATGCTGTTTCACAAGATTTTTCCAAAGATTTTGGTGATCCATTTCATGTGGTGGTGGCTATGCAGGCTTCTGACGGTGGATCATTACTACGCCCACAGTTAGATTTTGCGACTCTTCTTTACTTTTACTGCTTTCTTTTTTCTTCCACTTTTTTCTTCTGTGCTGCTTTTAGAAAATTGAAATTAATTTGTCAAATTTGACAATTTTAGTTGGTATTGTTGTTCAATTGATCAGAGAGCTGTTTAACATTTTTATTTAGTACGAGTAAAAAAATGTTGGAAAAAACAAACTCCTCTTTTTGACTTACATAAAAACAAAATAAAACTTGACATAAACTTCTTTTTTTGTCTTTTGGTGACTCTGTTAAGTTTTTTATGAGTTATCGTTTGGTAATTGATAAAGAATTATTATAGACATTTGGAAAAAGCTATAGAAATTGAAGATTTCCTACAGTATAAGTTGAACATTACACACGAAGGTCGAAGCTATGCGTATTCGGATTTTTGTGGTTCACACTGCGATACCAGCGATGCAGTCAGCATATTCCTGACCATGTATCGAGACGTTCACATTCGGTGAGTGCCACTGGTATTTCAGTTGTTTTGATTGAATATAAATAATTTTATTGGTTTTCAAATAATTTTACTGCAATTACTTTGGTGTATTTATTTTATGTTGATTATCTCAGCACAAGAATTCCGCCAAACTAATGATTTAGGTGTAAAACCCAAAGTAAGGATAGTGTAGGCACATTTATGACTACAGTGATTTTGTTTTTTGAACAATGTTTACTATTCTGAAAAATCAAATAGTGTAAAGGAAAAGACAGTTGGGAAGGGCGAATGACTCTTTTGAATTAAGAATGAATCGACAAAAACGAAGAATAAAATTTAATTATTTGAAATTAAAATGTTTAAATTTTGTTCAAAAGAAGAAAAAGAAAGAAAAAAAAATAAATCTTATCAAAATGTCATAAAAAACAATTGATTTTCCTAAACCAAAGTTGTTTAAACGGTAAAAAAAATTTGAATTGACTTTTTTTTTTTTAAAATAAGTTTTATTTCGCTATTAATTTTGGTGCATTTCAATTTTTTCCATTTTCAGAAAGAAAGCAAATGTTAAACTGACTTATCCGACACTGGATATATTTGGACATCGCATCTATTTAGCCAATAACATTTTTCAAGTTCAGCTGAATAACAGGTAAATTGGGGATTTTACAACTTATTTTACTACAATAAAAATTTAGAAAAAAAATTTTTTTTTTGTCAAGAATTTACTGTTTTCAAACATTTATCTCTCCTCTTCTATTTGAATAGAGAACCCTTTCCAAACCGTTATTCGTCAAGTGCACCTTTATTTCATTTTAACACTTTTCTTTTGAGAATGAGGGGAAAGTGCTGTTGAAGATTTTTCATTTTTTGTTCCTGTTATTATTTTTTTACTGATTATGAAATTTTTTTGCTGCCAGCAAACCGGTAATTGAACTGTTTTCGACCAACGTATAAAAAACAAATAAATCAAATGGATACTTGTCATCATATTATTTGCTATATTAATCCAAACTTTAATTTTTTTGTTTTTGCAATTATGAGTAGAAAGGAAAACTGATAAAGAAAGAAATTGAACGGAGCCGCTTCGTAGGCAATTTAGTCAAATTCCTGCTGGAAAATCTCTATAACATTTAGATCACATTTAATCGAAGGTTGTGGCTTATTGGCAATTAACTTTATTGCCATAATATCAAATCATTCACGTGAAGAGTTGATGAAAAAATGGGAACGTAAAGTATTTGAGTATTCAGAATCAACAATTGGCGATCCACTAATTCGTGTTTATGCCACATCTGAGGGACTTGTTAGTGAAGAAGTTCGAAGAACAGGTAATCGTTTTAGTAACAAATTAATTGTGGTTTTATTTTTAGTTATTTTTTCAAATTAGCAATCTTTTTTATTAATCTATGTCTTTTTGAAAGGTTTGAAAGCAATGCCGTTGATGAGTGTTTCGTTTGCTGTTATTTTGCTCTTCACGGTACTGACAACACTGAAACGCGATCCGGTCAAAGGCAAACCGTGGGAAGCAGCTTTGGGTGTAATTTGTCCACTGATGTCACTTGCCGCATCCTTCGGATTGCTATTTTGGGTGTGTAAGTTTTTTGGAGGATTCTGCAGTGTTTACTCTGGCTCAGATGACTCTTTGAAAAAAATTTTTTTTTGCTTTTCAATAAATGAAAAAATATGAGCATCGAAAAGTTGGAAAACTTGAAATAAAAGCTAGTCAGGATGATAAGTTTTAATATCAAAACTATGTATTGCCCTTCCTATCAATTTTTTGCTACGGTGTATTTTGGTTGACATTTTCAGATGGGAACTGTATAGTTTGAAATTCAAAAGTGTAGGACCATCTAGTTTGACTGTAAATAATTTACTAAAATTTAGGCTGGAGTAGCGTTCCTTCCAATAGTTTGTGTTGTACCATTCCTTATCTTGGCTATTGGTGTAGATGACGTTTTTATCTTTATGTATTGTTACGACAGAACGGATCCGTCTTTACCGGTAAAGGAAAAAATCGCTCATATGCTGGCAGAGGCAGGCCCGTCAATCACCATTACGTCGCTGACAAACTTATTCTCTTTTACAATCAGTGCTTTCACACCAACTCCAGCAATTCAAGTTAGAATCAGTGATTTATTTTGTAAAGAAATCTTCTTTTTTCTAATAGTTCTCCTTTATCTGTTTTCATAAATTCTTTTTCTGCAGTTATGTTTGTACTAAATATGATCTGGACTTTTAGGTGTTCAGCACATTCATCAGTTTTGCTGTAATTTTTGATTACATTTACCAAGTATTCTTCTTTTCGGCAGTTCTGACACTAGGTGGGCTTCGCGAGGAAGCACGGCGTAACGCCTATTGTCCATGCATAGTAGTGCCTGAAAGAGAACCAGTAATTATTCTTTTTGTTGTTTTTAAATTTTACTGACATTCTCAAAACTGTGGCATAGTCATTGAAATGCTTCATTGACATTAGATGATTTCAAGTGAATTTTGTAAAATACTTTCTGAAATAAGTCAGAATAGCTATTTATACAGCAACTTTTATCAGGAGCCAAAGAAGAAGGAAAAAAGCGCATTGAAGATAATGGTTGAAAAGCTTGTTTACGTTTGGGTTGACGCATCAATGACTAACTGTGCTCGAGTTGGGCTGGCGATTGTATTAGTTGCCTATTGGTTTGTGTCGTTCTATGGGATTGTGCATATCAATGTAATGGTTCTATAATTTGATTGTTTTGTACACTGGCTAGGACCAATTTTATCGTGCCAGTACATTCTTATCGTAGTATAAGATTAATCCCAAATTTACGGTTTATTTGAGGCTATTTGTTTTAAGGTTGGACTTTCTTCCGAAAAACTTTTCTTAGAAGATTCACCGCTGCTTCCATTTGTCAAAATACAAACGAATGTGATTTTCAAAGAGGGAGGACAAGTAAATGTTTAATATGTTCTTTTTGCAATAGCTTTTTTTTTTCTTCAACTTCGTTCTGTAATTATACATTTCTTAAACAAATCTTTTCTGCATGAGCAATTTAACTTGAGCTACTTTAAGGTTATGGTGTTTGTCAACAATCCTGGAGATTTAACAAAACAAAATACAGTGTTAGAAATCATGAAAATGTTAAGTAAGTACGAACATGCGACAGGAAGTGTCGGGCCCGAAAGTACACATTTGTGGCTTTATCCATACCTTCCATACGTTGGCACCCAGGTTCTGTTCTGTGATTTTTCGTTCTAGTTTCTTTTCTCGGTAATTACTGAAACTTCCAACAAAAATATATCTGTTTGTTTATAGAATCATGGAGAAATTGACTTCAAGTACAAGTATTTGCCAGAATTTTTGAAGCAACGAGAATATCATCGATGGAGAAATTTCATCAACATGGGACCAGTTGGGTAGGAGTTCTCAAATTTTTTTTCGTGTTTGCAAGCTGAAACATTTCAGATCTCGTGCGTCAGGGGGAACAGAAAATGTGCCGTCACGCTATCACTAAAATCCTTCATTTCAAAAACCAGAAACTATTTCCTTCTACTTTTTAAATGTTGTCGCAAACGGTTTCCGTCATTTTTTCAGTGACTGTCTCAACGAGAAGCCGTCTTGCGTACAAAAATTCGTCTTTTCCACCGGATTTCGGAACGCTGTTGCTTGGGCAGACCGATTGAAGGTTCTTCAAGAATGGCGAAATATAGCTGCAGAATTTTCAGATCTGAATGTTACTATCTTTGAACCTTTTAGCATGTATTCTGATCAGGTGAGACTTATAGGTTAATCAATATTGAGTGATAGTGAACCAGAAAAATAATTCAGTTTTTTAGTGAAATATTTGCTAAAAAAGTTCTCGTTTTCAATTGCTTGTTTTGCAAAAACCAGATTGCTGCTAATTTTGTTATGGGCTTCCTGTTCCCTAATTTGAATACTTTTACACCACTATTTTAGCTTATACAAGACTATTTTCAAAAGCTTATAATTATGCTTTTTTTCATTTTTAGCTACTTACTATAATTCCGGTTACAAAATCAACAGTAATTTTTGCTTTCGTTTGTATGGCAGTTGTACTTATGCTTTTTACTCCATGCCTAACAACAATTATTACTTCAACGCTCTCAATTTTATCCATTAACTTGGGAGTATTCGGTTCGTTAAGCTACTGGGATATTGACTTAGATCCAATTTCAACTGCAACAACATTGATGGCCATTGGTTTTTCTGTTGATTTTATTGCTCACATAACATTCCATTATTATAAGGGCGAAATTCCAGTAAGTTACTCTTTTTGCTGTTAAATCTTTTTGTAATACGTAGTAGAAAAGATTGATTGATTAGATTGTTTATTCTTGTGGGATAAGAGTTTACTTTAAATTAGCGCTAAGAATGTCATATAAAAAAATTTTGCTATCATTTTAGACCTTAATTTCACGTGTAAATTCTTTGTATATT